TTTTTTTTTAGTTCACAAATATCTTTGTGTGTAGATAGATGTTTAAAAAAGTGCAAATTGCACACAGTTATTTGAGTTAAGTTTCATTTTAAACATTTTGAAATATACTGTAAGACCCAACCTTGATTCAAGTTTGAGGATATTTGTTTGGTTTTGTAGTTCAAGGAATATAGACCGAAGCAGCTATACTTGAACATTTAACTTTTTTTAATGAAATAAAGTTGTTGTGGATGTAAAACATATCTTTTGAAACTAAATAAGCCAATTTGAAGAGAATTTGGGCACCTTTGCTGCTTTAAATTATCAGCCTTACTAAAAAATATGGTCTTTTCAAGATAAGACATATAAATGGTTTAATTAACTGACAATTGATAAGATTAGGGTGGTTACTGGTAATTAATTTATTAATTGATTAGTCAATAAATTATAATTGAGTTTGTTCTGTGTTTTTTTACCCTACTGCGATATTAAAACAAATCAGCACAGCTGTCAAACATACAGACTTAAAGCAGAAAATAACAAGAATAGTGCTCAAAAGAGGATTTTTGTTAATTTTGATGCAATATAACTTATTTGTTTTAGTTTCCTTACCTTTTTAACTCAGTTTAAACACAAATTTACATTTCATGCACCTGTAGCCCCCAGAGGAGCCTGACAAGTGGATGGAGAGAGACGTGGAGAGATATAAAACATGGGATGCCACCTACTACAGGCCAGCGTGTCCCCAGCCTAAGAACATTGTCCTGCAACAACACCTGCCTCACCACACCAATACCAGTGAGGACTGTCTCTACATGAATATCTTCACACCAAATGTAAGTGTGGTTTAGACTGGGTGGGGGGTGGGGTGGGGGGGGGCTTTTTAATAATGTGAGAATGCAGGTTTGCTTCATAACTGTTTGGACCAATAAAAATTAATTAGGTTAACTGGCTGTTTTGAGAGTGGTACTTTGTTTTGATGAGTGTCTTATGTTGTAACCAGTATTATGTTGTCAATCAATATACTACACAGCGTGAAAATGGTCGCAAAGTCTTTTTATGTTATGTAATCACTATGATACCTGTCTGAAATCAAGTGCGTGGTGTCCATTTTCAGATCACATATTATCCGTATTATGGCAAGAGGTGGCCAGTGCTAGTATATATCCATGGAGGAGAATTCACACACGGCTCAGCACAGATGTATCCTGGGACAGTTCTTGCGCAGAGACAAGTCGTTCTTGTAACATTTAACTACAGGCTGGGTCCATTAGGTAAGGAATTGTGTACTTTCTGATAATTTACATACAGCTTTTTCAAAGGAGCAAAAATAGCAGAGTTTTTAAAGGCACAAGTGGAATTACCTTTTTCATTTATGCAAAGCATGAAAATCCATTAGATAAATTGAAAATGTTGTCTCTGTCTAAAGTAGTTTCCCCTTATAATCTAAAATTCTTGCAGTTCCATAATTATGTACACCTAAATACTTCATTTGTTTCACTTTTTTTTTTTACTTTTATTCAATTTTTTTTATTAGAAAAAAATTATCATTTTCCTAAAGATATGAAAACTTAGCAAAAAGAGGACTGGTACAAGAGCTTATCACTCTCCATATAAGGCATGAACATTCTTACCTAGTAAGCAAGTATGTTTTGCAGGTTTTCTATCTACTGAGGATGCAAAAGCCAGGGGGAATTATGGGATGTTGGATCAAGTTCGGGCTCTGGAGTTCATTAGAGAAAACATCTGGTATTTCTATGGAGACCCCAATAATGTCATGATATTTGGGCATGATGCAGGCGCAGTCAGTGTAGGGCTCCATCTGGTGTCAGATAAGTCGAGAGGAAGAAGTGAGTAAACCTTCTTTGAATGCAATTTGCATGGAGATTTGAGTGTTGGATTTGAATTGAAGCCAGTAACACCAAGCAAATTAAAAGTGCATAAATTTTCATTAGTTTTTTTTTCTCACACTCACTCAGTTGCCATCTTGTTTACACACACACTCAACAACGTATTTACTCAGGCAATTACTCACTTGATTACTCATCCACTCACTAATTAATAATTTATTTCCTTATCATAGTCGGTCAGTCATTATCCGTTCACTCACTCAGTAATTCATAGTTTATTCCTTCCTCCAATCACTAAATAATAAATTTATTTTTCCCAGAACTCTTCACTAAGGCGGCTGCAGCTGGAGGAGCAGACATGGTGGAGTGGGGGGTGATAGAGCCCAAGTACCGCCCCAGGGAGTATGCCTATGAGCTGGGCTATCGCCTGGGATGTCCTGTGGATCACAATGATCACCACTCCCTGATCCAGTGCCTCAGGTAACTGGGGAACACTAGAAATTCTTTTTTTTGCGACAATTTTGGGGCTTATTCCCAGTAAAACTATATATTAATAATTCTTCATAGATTGATCCAACTTTTCAGGGACTGTTGCTGAATACAATCCAATTAACATGCCTCCTCATGGCTTTGACTGTGAGTGTGTTGGAAACGAGTGGAGGCAGTTAATCTGGTTGCATTCAGAGAGAGTCCCTGCTGAATTGGATATAGAACTAAGCAGAACAATAGTTTCATTGGGAATTGACCCTTATTCCTTAGCCAGTCTGAAATAGTGACACATTTTATCAAGAGGGGGGGCTCTTACTATTATATGTATTCATGCCCCAAAATTATGGAAACTCGTCTAAAATCTCATCTTGTTCAAAGTTTTTATAATATAGTGCCTTATATTTTTTTTTTAAATGGTGTTTGTATAATTTCAGTAGTGTGGTTTTTTTAAAAAAAAATTGTATACCCATTAAGTACATTGTAGTGGAACGTACTATATAAGAGATAAGTTAATATTTATTAATTATTATTATTATTATTATTATTATTATCAGGTACACCAAGAGCTGGGAGGAGATTACCCTAGCTGGCCTCAATATCTCTAAGAGGGTGAGGACTACCGTGAATAATAGTGTGAAATATTGACATCTCTTTTACCATAATTGAAGGGTTTAAATCATTATGTATCACCATTATATTTTCCTTGAACATGGAAAAAAAACTGCATTAAGTTTGAGATCAAGTAAGGATGAGATCTAATTTACGGATGAGCAGAGAACAAGTACTGGTATTCATAATGTTGCCTTTATTGAATGTGTAAGATTAAATATAAGGCATATGCCCAAAAATTGATCTAAAATTTCTGACAAATAATTTAATATATTTTAGTTCATTAGTCCATTTAAATGAAATAAGCATTGATCCTTCCTGCTTCAGAAACTGCTACTGATTTATCTTGTGTCAAATAGACCCATCTAAGTCTTCAAATTAAGCCCAATTTTCAAGCAAAATTAATTTAGTTAAACAAGCCTGCAAACGTGGTGGCATGTTTGTTTATATAAAATTATATAAGATGGGAATTCTCTGTGCAATTTTATGTAACTTTGTATTCTCTTATGTCTTTCACCCCTGAAGTGGGAATAAACAAATAAATAAGAATACTGAAGCAGTGAGAGTGAAATTTCCAGGAGTGGTTTCCCTGGGCCGCTATAATTGATTGGATAATTATGATATAAAATTATTGAAGCACTGAGTGTGTATTTTCCAGGAGTGGCTGCCTGCAGGCCCCTGGGCCCCTGTAGTGGATAGATATAAAATTATTGAAGCAATGAATGTGTATTTTCCAGGAATGGCTGCCTGCAGGCCCCTGGGCCCCTGTAGTGGATGGCTATGATGGCTTCCTCACTGATACCCCACGAAACCTCAGAGAGAGAGGTGCAGTGGCACCAGTCATGTTTTTGGCAGGGCTATGTTTGAATGAGGGATCGTATTTGATACGTAAGTTCTATATGATGTTTTGGGTATTTCTTAAAAAAAGAAATTTCACGGGGTGTATGGTGTACATTTGCAGAAGCAGATGACAAATGAAAATGTAAAACTGTTTATTTGATTATACAAAAGATAACAAATACAGACCGAGTCCTTCATTTGACCTTGAAATTAAATAAGTGAAATTAATTTTTCAATTGAGGACTGCCTGTAGGTGTGGTAATTTATTTCTTTTTACATTAAAATAGGCTTTAAATCATTTGCCAAATTTGTTTAGAAACAAAATAGATAATAACAAATTTGAAGGTAATAATAAATGATAAAAAACAATTAAATTTACTTTGGATTGAGGAAACTCTAGGGTTTTATTAACGCATTTGCCATTTTTTGCTCTCTTTGATAAGCCATGATTTGGCTTCAATTTGTAACATGACTGCCAGAAATTTCATTGACCTCTCATCATTTCAGCCAACATCTCTCCCACCATGGGAAAAGGCATCACAGAGACAGAGTTTGACATGGCGGTAGACGACTTCCTGGCGAGACGAAGAATCTGGGACATCGAGAGGGCGAGGGAAGCAGTGAGGTTTGAATATACTTACTGGACAAACCCAGACAATGCCACCGCAAGGACACAGGAGTTGATGCATGTAAGTTATGAGTCTCATCCCTAAGAATAAAGTTAAATTTGTCTTAAATCAACAGCTAAATATTGAAATTTTTTACGTCTAATATGTCACTGTCTGTTAGAGCATCTTTGTCAGGGAATGAGGCTACAAAGGAGAATAACTTCCATTCAGACAATATATAATACTTGCCTCCCAAACTACTGCCTTAATATATTACTAGTAAGCTGTTGATTGAAGAAAGAATTATGTCATGATTATTCTTATAAAATAACAGGCTACTGGAATTATTCTCTGACTGTGTTATCCCTAAATTGATGGTGATAATAATGATGTTGATGTGTTTTCAGTTATATGGTGATCTCAAGTATGGCGCTGGACTGGACTACACTTTGAAGAACGCCTCCAACTTAAATAGGACGTATTTCTACGTGTTCCAGTACAGGTCAGAAATGGAGACAGAGCCTGGATGGAGAGGTGAGTTTCAAGGAGTCGTTTGTTTTGAAATTCTTCATTTAAGCCCCCTTTACTCTGGACGATGTCCTTTCTGCGTCCCAAAGTATGGCTAGGTTTGAGAGTTAAGAAAACATTCTGTAACCTAAGCGATGTTTGTGCCTCCTTTCTGTGACCACAGCAATGTTCAGGACTGTCCTGATAGTTTTATAAAGAAAATCCACAGTGAGAAAAAAATAGTTTAAGGCCTCGAGGCAGAGATACTTTTACTATATACCATTGCATGTAGAAGACATTATGACTAAGAATATTTAAACTATACAGTATGGTAACTGGCCATTGGAAGCCTGGAATTATACATATATACCACATGGGGACAACTTTCAACATAATATTTAAATTACTCTGTCATATATTCAGGTATCCCCCATGGTGCTGACATCCCATATATCTTTGGTTTTCCCCACATGAACTACACTTTCGCCAATGTCAGTAGCATCAAGATTAATAAACTATATGACGGCTACTTGGACAGAAATATGAGTGACTTCATGATCACTGTGTATACGGAGTTTGCCAGAAGAGGGTAAGGCTTTGATCATTGAGGGTTAAAAATTTGATTAAAAGTGCAGCACCAACTTGGAACAGAATAATGTTATATGTGGTCTGCATATGTGTGCGATATAATACTATGTTCAATATATTTTTCTAGCTTAGAATTTTGATATTGTTTTATTTTGTCTTATAAGAAGTTCTTTAAACAGAGACAATCACACATACTTTTGGTTAGGTGTTGGATGTTTTTTCACTGATGGTTTGAACAATCCTACATTTTACTAAGGTCTACATTACAATTAAATTGCTTTAGATTGTTGGATTTCAATTAAATAAGAAAAAAGTTGTTTCAACATAAATTATTATTCAACCTTATTTAATTATTTAATGTTTTTTTCTTGATAAGTAGTACAATATTTCTTTGACATGAGTTAATTTATTTCACTGTTTGGTACAATACCATAATGCCTGTCTTTTCTCTTCCAGCAACACAACACCTGATCTCCCAGAGGAAGGTGACATACGCCGTGACCACCTGCGTAATATCACCTGGCTCCCTGTTAACCCATACAATCTCACCTTCCTTGTGATTGACGAGTACCCCTATCACGATGTGATGTATAGGCAGGACGAGTTTGCCTTCTGGATGTATAGGTTTTCAGAGGTTGTGGATCTTATTCCAGGTAAGAATTGTTGACATAGTATGTGTGTGTTTATATTTGTGTGTGTGTGTGTGTGTGTGTGTGTGTGTGTGATTGTGGATGTGGAATTATTTGTGTGTGTGTGTGTGTGTGTGACCAAAGTTGGAGGTATGTAAGGATAATTTTAATAAAATGTATATTATGGTATATAAACTATTTTCCAGTGTTCACCACGCCCTGGCCAACCCCCGCTGCCTTCAGGGACTTCCAGATAGCCACCTGGGGACTGGTGGTCTTTGGGATCCTCGCCACACTGATCATTGCCTGCCTCGCTGTGGCACTGATTCGAGCCAGAAGTAAATATGTATAGTGAATGTGGATATGTCTTGTTGTCAGCCATGCAATGTGATGTGATGTGAGGCCCTTCAATCTTCTGGAATTATCATCATAATTTTTTCTTATTATTTTAATATCATGGGAACATTTTTCTTTTTGTTGAAAAACTTTGGCAAATTTGTATAATAAAATTTAAGGCACTTTCTTTTTTTTTTTTTAAGTTGAGGCACTTTTTTTTAAATTTAACACTTCAACAATGCCTTTAGTTAAATATTAAAAAAATCTCTCATTGTTCACTCTTGTACCTATAACTTAGGTATTTTTTTTGTACTTGTGACGAAAATATTTGAACAATTTGGAAGTCAGGATTTAATAGTTTCTCTGCCAGAAACCTCACTGTTGAATATTTATGATATTTTTTTTATTATGATGGTTTGACTCAAGTTTTTGAACTGCTTGATTGTACCTACTTTATGCACATAGTTTGTAAATATTTTTTATATATAGTGTTGAACTTCTCATTACATTTCCACAAAGTGTGGAATTGGAAGGTGATATATAGGAGAGTTCAGGTGTGCTTATGATATATTGAAAACATTCAAGTTGGTTGTGTCAACCTTTTACTGTCATCAAGATACATATTTATTATATATTGCACCAATTCTTGGATATAAAATAAATGGGACCAAACTTTTTAAATAAATCTGTTTTTAAAATTATTTTTAAAACAATATCTCTGAATGTGTCAGCTGTGAAATTTATTAGTTTTTATAAATAAATGTAACAACTCTATCATTCCAGACCTGTAGTTGAAGATTTTTCAACTTGGAAGCGTAATTATTTGTCACTCTGCCTGTGATGGTGAATGTCTTTCTCTTTTCAAACAGACTTTTTTCAAGAATGCTCTAGGTTTTGCACTTATGTGACTTATTAATTCATGTTTTATTTGCTTATTTTATCAAAAGAACATGGTTGTCATTTTTATAATGCATTTTCATGGAGACAAAAAACAGAAGACTGCTGCCTCTTCGTCTGAATAGAGTTGAAGTACTGTACCAAATATCACATTTTGAAGTAGGTTTAGAATTATGTAAATAATGGCTTTAGATTTTTAATTGGAGTGCCAGGAATTGTAGTTGAAAAATAAACCTATAGAAAAAAACTATAAGGAAATAAAAAGTAGTCTCTTCACAACTGATAATGAACTTTGAACATTTTTGTATCTTCTTGTATAATAGTGATAATAGACTGAAAATTGTGTACTAACCTCATGAAATGGGGCGGTTGAAAAGCTGAATTGTTTAAATGGAAGCTTAATTACTATGAGTAGTATGTGTTAAAAAAAGAAATAAAATGTTGATAAATATTTCTTGTTATAGCTGTCTGCCATCAAGTCCCATCATTTTTCTGTAATAGACAAATAATACTTCAACAAGTTCATTTATTGGAATACATTTGTATGACACTTACGCTTATCACAGATAATTTCCAAAGCAAAGAAATCTTACTACTTACGAAATGTGCCGTAATAATTTTTATAAAATTCTACATTGAAAATGTGTGATGATTTTTTATGCCTGATAACCTCATCAATGCACTGGCTTAACTTACTCATTTAATATAATTACTAATAAGCAGCACACAACAAAATGTTAGCAATATTGTACTTATCAATTACGTTAATGTAATTTAAACAAAAAATGACGGTGAAGACTACAAACCTCAGTATGTAAATTGTGCACTGAAATGCTTGATTTTTTTTTTAATTTGCCAACTTTCCAAACTTAAAATTCCTTTATATTTTAATAACCACTTAGGTGGAAACTCAGGCCAAGTACCATAATAATAATTCTCAGTATCTTTATTGCACAAACTCCCATTTTCTTCCAAACCCTATATATTCCATTTCTCTACCAAAAATCATCACTTTATTTCCTAATTGGAAACAAATGCAGAACTGCAAAGGTGCACCTTGTGCTCAAACATTGCATGTTTGTCTGTACATGAAATATATTACTGAACTCATCAAACATAGAAATGAGTAATATTATTTCAGAATCTCATGCTGATAAGTACCCAAAAATAAACATCTCATGCATCTGACTCGAAGAAAAATGTCACAAGTAAACGAACATCATGCTCTGGCCACCGATTCATAATTTCATTACATTTAGACAGATAACCTGTAATATACTGCAGTATATATTAATATATATAATAGATATACATTCATATAAGTTAATAATGAGCAAAAACATTTTAATATCAAAGGCCAACTGATTTCATCTGATGACCCAATGCATAACAAAATTGAGTAAAAATTAATGCAATAATTTTTAATCACAATACATCTACCACCCACTTCTAACAACAAACATAATCTCTAAGTATCAAGAGTAGAATAGAAATCATGGCAATCTTAAGAAGTTGTTATCATAATTGTCATAAATTGGCACAAACATTTAAAGAAAACATACCTCTCTATTCATACTATGACTACAAATCACAAAACATAATTACAACAGCAAACTAACTCCACAAAAATAAATAACATCATATCATCTCAACAAAATTAAACCAACGAGATCAGAGGTAGACTCACACAAGAACTGTTGTGGACTGTAAATCAATATGACATCAGTAACTTTTTTATAATAACAACGCTACAAGTGAATATTTTTAACACTAAGTTTTTCCATCTGTAAGACAGAAGTTAGTACCAAAATGAGTGCAACTGCCTCATATAAACACCTGTCTGTCTTTTTCCTTGTGCCATCATGCTGCTTTTCTTGGCAAGTGCAATGGGTTCACCTATTGGCAAAGACTCTAGCAGCTGTACTTGAGCATTGCACAGTGCCTCCCCCTTTTGTTAAAAGAGTTTTTAAGCAATTCCCGGAAACTGTCAAGTGTGTCCATCTACAGCTGATGGGTTAAGAAGCATTCTTGAAGACAGGGTCAATTGTCTCCACCAACTGGATAAGTTTCAAATACTGCAGGAAGTGTCATATGACTGCCTGTGGCTCCATCTGATCAAGTGGCTCCATCTGGAGGACGTGTATCTAACTTAAACAGCTTAATGTGCAGCTCTTCTGTCTTGACCTCAGGCAGCAGTTGCTCTAACAGGGCGTCTGCCAGACAGAACAGGAGGTGTTTGTTTAGTTTTACGCTGTCCAATGTGGCCATGATCTCCCTCACAGACATGGACAGGTCTTCATCATCTAACAGTAGGGCCAGGAAACCTGGATTACAAAAGAGAAGATGTTGTGAGGTCCTCAACATCTAATAGGGAGAAGAAAACTGGACTGTATAAATCAGTATATTGTGATACAATGCTATTGTTATAGAGAGGAAAATTTGGTGTTATGTGAGATAGATTTCAAATTAAGGGACTTATTTGACCCACTTCAATATTTAGATTAACCAGAAAGGTGGAAGAAAGTCATTTCCATCAAAAATACATAATGGTACAAAAAAAAAAAAAAAATTGTACAAATTTTTTTGGTCTTCCAAGCTTGAATAAATACTAAATGGCTGATACAGTTAATAAATTTGTAATAACTTCTAAGTAGCATTTGGCAGGCTTTAAATTTGAATTATTTCCAGTGATGTATGTCTGACTCAATAATTACCAGGATAGGCTTCATATAAACACCTCTCTGCCTGTTTCCTTGTGACATCATACTGCATCTGGCTTATGATTGGCTGTTCCTGGTCACCTGGTCTCTTCCCATCATGCCACAGCAACTCTCTAAGGTTCTGAAGGTAGTGGGCACATCTTTCCTCAGTAGTGATGGATGCCACAGCTTCTTGTAGAAAACTGAAACAGATTTAGATATTGATAGACACAAAATTACCACAACTTTCACAGAGAACTGCAACCCTTGAAATGATAGACATAACACCTTGAGGCAAAAGCACCACAGACTGTGAATAAAAATGGCGACAGTTAATATGAAAGAAAATATAACCTTTCTTTCTCTCTTCCAACTTTCAGTTTGTTTTCAACAATTCCAAACAATTTCAATAATTCTCAAACAATACGCTATAAAAGTTTTCTCTGTTGAAAATACTGATCTTTATCACAGTGAACAACAATTAAAATAGTCAAAATCATCATCACTTCAGACAGATATATTATGTAATCCCCAGATGTCACACACACACACACACACACACACACACACACACACAGTCTTTCCTGTCTCTGGAAAGAAAAAGAGCATTAATATCAAACAGATTAATATCAAAACAGCTAGCACTGACCTTTCAACTCCTCTTCCCAATAATGTCCTGAAAGCTGAGATCGCTAAGTCATAACACACCCAGCTGGTGCTGCCATCTATTGTCTGTAAGCCTAGGTCCACCACCAAGTCTGTAAGTAACAGCGCCTTCGATGGATCAACCTTTGTGCAGTCCTTTGCAGTCTGTGCTATGTCGGTTTGTAACAAACTTTCTGATTGGCTTGTCATATCTAACAAATCTTCACCTTCTGCTTTGGAATGGTCAGTTGCAGTCACATGTTCAGTAGATTTGGAAACATGATCCACATTTCTTGATTCTGTCAATAAACATGTGGCATTAGGCTCATCCAAAACTGTACAATCTTTCAAATTTTTCACTTCATCAGTATTTGTGAGTGGACTGATTGTGTCACTGTTAACATCTTCAAGGAATCCAGGGTTACTTGTCATGTCTTTCATTTTCTTCCCAAAAATTGAGCCCTGGGGTTTATCACTTTTCCCTGGAGATAACTTTTCATTAGGATCACAGTTTTTCACAGGAGCTGCCGGTTGACTGGAAAGAGTTTCATCCTGCAATTTCAAGTCCTTGTTTTCTTCTTGAATTGATAATTGGTGTTTGAGTCTAGAAAGCAGCATTTCTGTCCCAGCAGAAGCTGCACGTTGATCCTTGCATGTGACAGTACCATCCTCATTGCCAACTGCTTCATGGGAAGATACTAATTCTTCAAGTGCTGTAGTCATAAGTACTTGATCCTGAGTAAAAAATTAAAAATTGACAATAAAACTTTGAGAGTGACGTATGTTGTAGAGGTTTGAATTCCATTAATTTGTAAAATACACCTGGATGAGTCAAAATTCATAACCTTTCATACCTCACTTTCAGCCTTGGATCTTATCCTCAGAGCATCTGTATCCTCTGGCAGTTCAACATCGGCGGCAGTGGTGGGAGAAGTGCTCTCTAGTTTGGCCCTCTTCTCTCTAGTAGGCACTGTTACCAACTTGTCCAGCTTGTCAAACACACCTGACACTGTCTTTACTATCACCTGTATGGATCCAAGTATTGCTTTAATTTATTTTATAACAATTGTGAGCCATTATTTATAATTCCTTATGCAGGTTCTATACATCTTTTAAAACTTTCTGTTCTACTTTATCATTTATTTATTTACTTGTCAATTTTAAATTATCTGTTCATTCTATTATTTCATACATCAATAATTTTACTCATCTATCCACTTATGTATTTTTAACAAACCAAAGCAACCCAAAGAATCAAATGCAAGTTGCATTTCTTTGAAACCTTACATCTGTTACACTAACCTTCAACACAAGAGTGGAATTCATAACTATCATACCTACCCTTGACACACCAGTCTCATTCAAATCTGACCTCAGCATAATAGTAAAATATACAACTTGTCTATCTGTGTGTATCTTTAGAGGCTTTCAGTCATCACACCCAAAACACCCACAGCAGTCACACTCACGTTTTGTGTTTAACTAACTATACCTTGTCTATCTGTGTGACTTGAGGAGGTTTCTTTACAAAGGCTATGTTGCCATCCCCAGCATATGCCAGGAACTCTCTCATCTCTGCACTGGTGTTCAGCTCACTCTTGGCACACAGGGTCTGCAATAACAACACACCTGGGTTAATATTTCTGTTCAGTTCTGTGATAAAACAGACAGACCACTCTTAGCACACAGGGTCTGCAATAACAAGACACCAAGGNTGCCATCCCCAGCATATGCCAGAAACTCTCTCATCTCTGCACTGGTGTTCAGCTCACTCTTAGCACACAGGGTCTGCAATAACAACACACCAGGGTTAATATTTCTGTTAATTTCTGTGATAAAACAGACAGACCACTCTTGGCACACAGGGTCTGCAATAACAACACACCAGGGTTAATATTTCTGTTAATTTCTGTGATAAAACAGACAGACCACTCTTGGCACACAGGGTCTGCAATAACAACACACCTGGGTTAATATTTCTGTTCAGTTCTGTGATGTACCTGCCTGCGTGTTTCTGATTTAACCAAAAAAAATAAAAATTACTATACCCCCTTGTCTATCTTTATTTTGCCCTACTTTACTCTTTCTCTACCTTTTTATTTCTTTCCCCATTTTTCCCTTTGCAATGCTGTTTCTGTCCCTTGTTTTCTTTACTTTCACCCATCCCTCCATCTATCAGCTGGTATGATAACTTACCTGTAAGTACACCTCCAAGGTGCTCTTCCTACTGTCAATGTTCTCTTGTCCCATGTTCCCTATACCAAAAGGCATGGTTAGCCATTTCTTTGGGCCCTTCACATCTATAACAATACATATGACATATTGCTTTATATTCATTACCAATGAGAAAAACAAGCCAATTTATTGGAAATACATTTATCAGTCGTGTAATGACCCCAAAGTTCCTATAATCATAATGATTGTAATGATTACAATAATTATAATTTTCTGAAACAAACAAGTGTCTTGCCAGACATACAAGTATACATGAAATACCTGTACAGTAACTGTTGTTTGTAGAAAATATCATGATTGTAAATTTTGAAATTATTACCATCTTTCAATTTTCTTAAAAGTTACAAGCAAAAAGTATAAAGTCTGGACCTAAAAAACTCAGAAGAGAAAAAAATTATATCTATGACTTATAGATATGCTTCTCTGCACGTAAACATTTTCAAACTTTGTGAGATTAATCCAATGTGTATCAATAATTCACATTTCTCCAAAATATCATTATTTTACAAGAAGTGACAAAATCTACCTTTGATGCATTTTTTATACAAGTCACTGTTTTCCAACCTGGAATGAAGATTTACAAATTCTCTGAATCTTCTCCAAACCACTTTCTTCTGCAGGATAAACTCTTCTTCCTCAGTTAAATACCAGGCTTCATACTGCAATGCATGATCATAGTAATATTCACATTCTGTTATAATTTTCTTATCAGCAATTTATTATTATTATTATTATTATTTTTTTTTTTTTTTTTTTTTTTTTTTTGAAAAATTAAATATCACAACTTATGGGAAAATATCATCTAAGTCACATTTTTATCTTGTCCATAACTAATTAACTCACACCTATGAAAGCTTTTCTGTCTCACACGGAAATAATATCTCATAAAATTTTTTTTAAATTAGAAATTTATCTACACATGATCTATTTTACACACATTGCAAGTTTACATAACCATTCTTTTCTCATCTACCTGCATTTTATATAAAGTATACTTACCTCTATTTTATACAGAGTATATGGCTTGTTAGATGTAAATGAAGGTTCTGTGGCAGTCTCAGTCTGTGTAATATACACATTCTGGAAAATAAAATTTGGCACCTCCGTTGTTGTAACAACCTGTCTTTGCCTCATGATGCGTTTCTGACGAACTCCAGTAGTAGCTTGAGCATTGGAAACACAACTCTGAATATCCTCTACGCTAACACTGTCCATCTCTGAAGACAGAGCACTTTCACTTTCATTTCCACTGGAACCAACGACAGGGGAACTGGACATCTGGTGGTCAGCTTTGTCCAGTTGAAGTGGAATGTTGATGGATGCACTGCGATGTAGATGACCAGGGCTATGGTCAGTGTGTGGTCTGTCTAATATCTCAGTGCTATCTGCTCTGGACATTGCTGTAAAAATACCTCTTTGCCTGTCAACATTGGCTCTTCCATCAGCCTCCCCCTGTGCTGCTTGTCTCCTAGCAACCCCAGAATGAGGCACTGCTGATCCTGTAACCTCCTGCTGATTCTCTTCATCACTCCAATGGACTTTCAAAGGGCGTCTCTGTTGGGCAATTCCAATATGTCCTGTTATCCCAGACACAGCTATCTCTCCCTCACTTTCAAGACTTCCAGCAGTCAACACAGAGGAGCCTTCTTTAACATCACTGCTCTCTGACTGCTGATTATTATCATCATTCTCTGGCTCCCACGCAGCCTCAATCCCATGAGAAAATGTCTCACCTGATAACGTGCCTTGGGGCACTGCTTTCTCTGCCTCCACAGTCTGTTCTCCAGAAAGCAAAAAAGATGGTCCCGTCAGATTGAAGTTACCATTGGCAGATTTACTGGGACTCTTCTCATTCTGCCTTCTGAATCTCCCCAAAAATGATGAACCCTGTTGATGAGGTTCCTCTATTTTCCTACTGACAGATGAACTGATACTATCTTCTTTTGAGGTTGAATTCCCTCCAACTTTGCTGAGGGTTTCACCATTTCTGCTAGCTTCTCTAAATATATTTGTACCTTCTGTGGATGTGGCTTCCCTACTGTCCTTCACCCCTGACCCTTGACCTTGCACTGAAGATATGACCTCATCTGACCTTGACACATCACTTGAAGACGACCTTGAACTTGACACAGTTAGCATGTCCTTGACACCAACTTCCTCAAAGGGTGTATCTGAACTTGACTCATGGAGCAATGCTCTCTTGATAGCCTCTTGATCAAGTGTAAGTTCTGTAGGTCTATTCTGTGGCTTGGATTCAGGAGAGTGATCAGAATTTACTGTAGTTTTCACAGCTGTTGTTTGGGTAGTCTGGGGCTTGGATTGTTGTGTTAGAGTAGAAAATGGGTAAGAAGAACTTCCTGAGCTGGTTGTGTTAGCTGTGATTGTGCTCATTGTGCTGGTTGTGTTAGCTGTGATTGTGCTCATTGTGCTGGTTGAGACAGGCGCTGAATTCCCTTCAGGCAACAGTCTAAAGTATTGGCCTAAACTAGATGAGACAAATTCTCCACATTTTTCCAGATCACTTTCTGGTTCATCTTGCTCATATTCCTGAAGATCTGCAGACTTCTCAGAATCAAAATGTGTTTCCTGTTCATTAAGTTCATGAGTATTTTCCGCTTCACTTGAGTTGGAATTGCTTCCTTTTAGTAATTCTTGCTTCTGCTCAAAACCTAGTCCATCCTGTACAGGGGTTCCATCTGGTGGCAAACTTGCAGCTTGACCTTGGTTTCGTTCACTGTCTGGTGACTTCATCAAAGTCTTGTCTTGACTTATGCTTCCCTCTAGGGGTGGAACTATCTCTGGCTCCTCATCAGAAAGAACTGCCACTATGCACCTGTGTAAAGTGTGACTGTCGCTCAGTTTGCTCACCAGAGGGAGCAGCATGTTACAGGCGAGTATTTCCACCAGCATCTCTGTCGCACTCTCAGTTTTGTAGACCTGGTAAATGTGAAGAAAATAATTCAGGGAATACTGTTTGAAAATATATCATCAACAGCACATAATGAACCTTGGAATTCTACATTGCAAATACATTAATTTTCCAGGATTTATTTTTCAATTTTTTCCTTAAAATTACCAAACACATCATATTCAAAGCCTCTCACTAAGAATAATGAACAATTAACCCAGAAATTTAAAAGGGGAATCAGTTTATGCTATTATTATATTTAAATCTAAAGCAAACTGTATTTTGTATTTCACTTATTTTAAGTTGTGTCAATTTTCACAACACCACACTAAAAGCAAAAAAAAAAAAAAAATGGTGTTCACATGAATAAAAATTTGACTGCAATAAACATTTTATTTTAAAAAGCAACCTTGTCAGGTGCCAATGTGGCCAGCAGAAGTCTTGTAACAGCTCTCACATACTGCACCTCTGTCTCCTCATCATACAGAGCTGTGTGGAAGTGAACCTGGGAATAGCAATTAATTGTAATAAAACCGGTTGTCAGAAACATCAGAATGGGGATAAGTGTTAAGTTTTTCTGTTTTTTCTTGAATGTGGACCCCATTATTTGACCCAAATTGAAAATTGGCACAGAAAGTAAAGAGACGCAAAAAGGCAAAAGCCCAAGGCATGCAGCTATAAATAATAATGATAATCCAGATTTTCAATTTTAAACACCCAAAAGGCTTTATTCTCTAAATGTATATTTAATCCACTTCAGTAGCCTAAACTGTAATAACCCATCAGACCAGTTCTTCCCTTCTTCTTTTCGCAAAAATTAAATTCATCAGCATTTATAATTCAAGGTGAGCTTAGAATGAATTTTGGAACATCATCTTTCCATGGATCACTGCATTTATTTCTGAAAGTTACTAATCCGAGCATTTATTTAATCTTTCCTACCTGTTTCTCAAAAGCCTCCTCAATTGTTTTCACCTTTTTGAACTCTATCTTTGAGGGATCTTTCTTTTTCCTGTATGCTGGCTGCCTCTTGAGGTAATGAACAGATGCTTGGTATCCTTTGATATGGCCCCTTGAATACAAACATGTAAAGATATAGTTTTATAACCCTATTTCCTCAATAAATGAGACCAGCTGGTTTTATACATGAAAAATGTGACCCTGATTGTACTAGGTATGACTAGTTGCATTGGGTGTGACTTGATTGTGTTAGCTGTGACCTGATTGTGTTAGATTTGCTTACAAATCTATTCATTGCCATATGTTATTAAAGCTATAATGTGGGAAAAATTCACTCCCTTTAAAAACTACCTTACACAATAACTTCTTAGGAGGTGAGCACCTACCTAAACACTGTGAGCAAAACTGGTACTAATTTCTGTCTCCCAGCTTTCCCTATCCTGTGGGTACTATCCCTGAGAAGACCTGTGAGCAGTTGGGAGGCTTCCTCCATGCACTGGCTGTTGTTACTGATTATATCATACCAAATCTGTCGCATAATAAAAACAAATATAGTGTGAGATATTTCATGAATAACATAAATCTCACTTAGAAATATTGATCAAAGCTATATCTTGAAGCTGAAGATAAATTAACACAACTACATGTATTTCCAAATCCTAGATAACTTGTGAAAGGAAATCAATTTAATTTACTTTTAAATCTGCATTTTTCTAGCAAAAGGTGAATTATCTTGAATTAACTATAGTAACTGCAGTCTGAAGTTATAAGAAACTTACAATTATTCTTCGATTTAAGATCTGTCATACGCAGACAGATAACAGTATCTGTACATAAAAATTGCCTGGGTATAAAAAAACTATAAAAATAAGCAGAACATAAATTAATATGCTATACCTTTACAAAATCCATGCTAATAAGGTCCACAAATTTATCCACTTCCTCCGTTACTGTCTTGGATGTCGATTGGCTGTCATCAATATGATGCCCATCAGGTGATACCAACTTCAGCAGCCCTTTGTAAGTATTGTAAACAATGTGTATGGTCCCGTCTGTACGGAAAAGGGACTGCTGTTGCAGAAGATACCTGCAATATCATTAAATTTAAAGAGATCTATTGGATATTGAATTCATATAATACTTCTTACATTTCAAACTAGAACTGAGATAGCAATTATCCTGCCAGCAAATGTTTCAAAATTGAAATCTACTTTGAATATTTCTGCAGCACTCAAATTCAAGTATTTCATGAGAGAGAGAGAGAGAGAGAGAGAGAGAGAGAGAAAAAGTGAGAGAGAGAGAGAGGGGGAGGCAAGAGAAGATATTACCTGGACCCCATAAGTCCTCCTAGGAATGTGAGTATATACACCAGCAGTGGCAGCCAAGTCCATGTCCACACAGCCACTGCTATGTACAACACCGCCACCACCAGGGTGAGCTGAATACTGGTCATGTGACTGACATGTGACCTCAGTGCTCTACACAAGGACCATGCCATGGTGTCAGATGTGACGATATGTAGAGTGGGAGAGGTGTGATTAGTCAGCAGGATGCCCAGTGTCTGGGATTACCTCGTCTTAAAGTAGCTACAACTGACTCAATAACTTGACCATGATGACAGTATGTCTTTGTTTAAGCACCATCATAAATAAGACAGTACTTCACAGGTTACAATTTGTTGTTGGTTATCAGTGCTATACCAGCATGCATGTCTACAACAAAGATTAATAAGAAAAATAATGTACAAATTTACAATGGCAACTATACTACTGGTAGTAAGCCCAATGTTCAATTCTTTTAAATTAAGACATTTACCGGTAGTACAATCCGCAATGACTGAATAGTCAGACATTTTGCCAACACCACAGACATATTTATTAAAGTAATTCTGGACGAACATAACCCCATTATCCCAGTAATGCACTGTACGTGTACGAGTGCGTGTTGTATATACGCTGTAGCCGTGTAGGCGTACGTTGACACCTGAGGAAGAATCAAAACAAATCCTCTCCGGCTTCTAATCATATTTTCCAAATATGCCTCACTTTGCTGTTAATGCATAAACGTCTGAAAGTCTAGAACATACTTACCACATCATGACCTTAGTAAAGAGTAGAGGTCTATACTTATGTAAAACGGTCGAAAAGTTTCATTTCTCGCCCAGCAAGGGTTCCACACAAATGGCCTTGACCTCGTTTACATACATATATCAAGACAAGCTGCTCTCAAAGCAAAGGCATTTTGTGGGCTAATGAGGAGCCTCCGAGGCCATTATAT